TCAGGAATATTCTAGAAAATTAACATCAGGCAAATCAAAAAAACAAAAAATGTGTTTTGGGGATTCCTGTACAGTTGGAAAAGAAAGTATTATCAGAGTTTAAACCGTCTAAAGATGATTTAGATCAAAGTTTAAGCGTGACACTGTGTACTATGTAAATAGTCTTTGGGGGAGGCTGCAGTAATAACGGTACTAGGGCTGCAACTAACAATTATTTTATTTCTGTTGATTATTTTTTCGATTAATCGATTAATAATCGAATAGGAAAAGGTTACTTAAAGAAGGTTTTTTTAACCAGTTCTGAATAGAGCATATTGACATTGGTTTGCTCTTTCAGGTAAGGCATGTTATATAGTCTTTACACTCCAGTTAATGATTAATTGATTACTCAATTAGTTGATGATTATTTTAATAATTGATTAATTTGTTTAAATGTTTTAGGACTAAACACCAGTGAATCAACCATATTTGGATTCATCAGTTATGTAGCTTAGATGGGTTGTGGATGGATAGGGTCCATCTTTAAAACACAATTCCACTTTGAACTTAATTTGTATTGAAGCAAAAAGCAGGTATGTCCAGAGGCGTAGCCAGAAAATCCTAATGGGGTGGCCAGTCAATAACCAATGTACATTGAGGGGTGGCCCAAAGACACCAGAACCTCGGGGTCAATCTACACTGTATCAACAGGAACGAACACAACATCCATATTTTTAAATAAAGACAAACTATACTTTCCTGCAGCCTTTGCTAACAAATAGAGGAATATATTTAAACATCTATGCTGTGTAAATAAAAGGCACAGTTGACAAATTTCGTTCAAATTTGAGTTCTGGGGTGAACATATTTTACATTGTCATTACCTACTTTTATCAATAATCATTCTGCAAAAAATATATATTAAAATCTACTAATGTCCACATTTAATGGATTTTTTGTTTATTATTAAAGTAGTTATTTATCTATGGTTTCACTGAAGACTCCCAGGTGACTTGCAGAGGCACATCATTTTATCTTTACCCCAAATAATAAAAAAAAAATTCTGAAAAGAGCATGAATTCTGTATTTATCATCTTTAATGTTTGTATATGGATGTGCAGATTTAACCATAGTGTTTCTGTTGTCAAGTAGTTGCTAATATATGAAAAATTTTAATGTTTAATAAATTTGAACATTCCCCTTCAGAGTATTACTGCTGCCACCGTCTGTATTAGAGGGTGGTATGGGGTGGCAAATGATTGGCTAAGGGTGGCAAAGGCCCCCCTGGCCCCCCATCTAGCTCCACCCCTGGGTATGTAAGCTAGGGACTTTAGCAGCACTGCGGAAGCACTGTCTCAACGTTTAGTNTTTTCCTGGTTCGTTCAAAACACGCCCCATAATCACAGCTCTATGGAGCAGTATCAGACTCATATTCTGACAAGAATTGAGTAGGACCACGTCAGGCTAGATAGGAGACTTTAAATGTTACAAAGAATAATACTGAGGATGAGCTTGAAATCTATTGTGGATTTTCTACAACCCTAGTAAACCTGTAGATGCTCACTAATATTTGATCAAGCTTCAGAGAAACCTGGCTAAATACAAGAACATCTCAGCAAATTTAAATATTTTTGAAACAATTTATTTCAGTAACTTCAGGAAACAGAACACATCACATAGGTAATTACAAAGACCAACTATTTAAAGCCTTTTTTTGGTTGATTAAATTGAATTTCTGCTTACAGTTTTGAAAAAAAATGCCTTCAAGATCATATAATATTGCGTCAAACAATAAAGAATTCATTCTTAAAACTGAAATATTAGTTTACATTTTTTTTTGTTTTTGTTTTCAAAAGGTATTTTTAATCAAACAAACTAGACCCATTTACTCATCTCATTGACTCTGTTGTACTGAACCTGTATTTGTCCAGCCACTCCTTTAAGCATCAGGACTAGGGTGTGTTTAAATAAATTGCTTTTCTGGCCTTAACTCAGCTTTTATGGACAAAGCTTGCATTTTCATTAGCGATGGACTCAGGAATATTCTAGAAAATTAACATCAGGCAAATCAAAAAAACAAAAAATGTGTTTTGGGGATTCCTGTACAGTTGGAAAAGAAAGTATTATCAAAATGTATCTACTAATATCCACATTTAAGACATTTTTTGTTTATTATTAAAATAGTTATTTATCTATGATTTCACTGAAGACTCCCAGATGACTTGCAGAGGCACATCATTTTATCTTTACCCCCAAATGAGAGCATGAATTCTGTATCTATCATCTTTGATGTTTCTATATGGATGTGCAGAATTAACCATAGTGTTTCTGTTGTCAAGTAGTTGTTAATATATGAAAAATTTAAATGTTTAATAAATTTTAACTTTCCCCTTCAGAGTATTACTTCTGCCACCGTCTGTATTAGAGGGAAAAAATGGTAGGGGTGGCAAATGATTGGCTAAGGGTGGCAATGCCCCCCCTGGCCCCCCATCTAGCTCCACCCCTGGGTATGTAAGCTAGGGACTTTAGCAGCACTGCGGAAGCACTGTCTCAACGTTTAGTTTGAAGTAGGACAAGAATAAACAAGTTTTAAATGCTAAAATACATTTCAAAGTTTAGATTTTTTGCACTTTAAGTCTTTTTTTCTGAAACATGGAGGCCAAAAATCAATGTAGAACTCCAACCAAGACTCTTAACCTCCTTACTGTGAATATATAATATCCAGTAAATGCCTGACCTAAAAACACCTGCTAGTGTTTGCATCTTCCACCAAAATTTTCTGCTGTACCTCATCTGGTTATAGTGTACATTTATAAGTGTAATATAAAGATTTTCCTTTGATACATCCTTTACCAGCATGTCAGTGTTTGTGAAACAGTGATTACTGATTAATGCAAGGAGACAGTGAGTGTATTAGTCAGCTGCTCTCCTGCTCCACAGTAGCCTTAGATGGCATTTTCCTCCTTTTTTCCCTCCAATCACGTTCCTCCTCCTTCTTCTAGGAAGCACGGGGATGCAGATGAGAGAAGTGGGTGCTATAAATAGCAATCCCTTCATTTTTCACTCAGTCTTACTCCTAAAACAGAAAGCAGTGAGGAGAGCAGGCAGGATGTGGAGGATGTTTTATTTCTTGCCTATGCAGTATGCAGGTGAATTCAGTACATCAACTGCTTCTGTTTGAGGAACGCATTATGCTGCTTTTAGGCGAGATGTCTTATTTCAGATTGTTGGGTTTTTTCATTAGTGCATTTGGTGCAGCTTTGCTTTGCACTTTCTGCCTCTGGGGCTTCCTTTTGTTCCTGTTCAAAGGTCCAACCACTCATTCCTCTAATGTTTGAATTTGGTCAGATTGGATATGCAGACTGCTGATGCTGAGGTGCATTCAGACACATTCAAGTGTGAGATAAAAGAAAAAAAAAACCTGCTTGTGAATTAAGAGATACCATCATGTCTTGTGCTCAGATTCAGCAACAAATTCCCATGAACCCCATGTGAAAACTCTGAGTCTCTGTACTTTTAAACATCAATCAACTCTGAATCACTGACTCAGCTGACCCAACAGATGCATTAGTGTACAGTTTATCTATTTCTGGCACGTTTTAAAAGCCATTTTCTCCCTCAACTATCTAGTTTGTATCCCTATTTTCCAACCTCTAAGCATGCCCCATTATAAACATAATGCTAAATGTATTATTGATATGTATCCTATGCAATAAGACATGCTTTACTAAATGTTTACCACATCACATGAACAGTCCATATGGCTCAATGTGTCTAATGTGTAAAAAACCCTACAAACAAAAAGATCTTGTGAAATATTAGTATGATCTGCCATTAACTGCATGCACACATTTTAACCCCATAGCATTAGTCTAATTTGATAATGCATTTAATCTAATTTCATATCAGTCTTGGCTGCGACCCTTTAAGATCCATTTCCAAACCATAGGATGGCTTGGAACGCCTTTTTTTATTGCAGGACAGAACAAGGCAGGCCCTGAGCTCAAGCAGAGATCCATTACAGCTTTCATTTATTCATTCATTCTGGGATCCTAAACACGCATCTCACCGCTTACATATCTGCTCCTTTTCCACAATGGGAACAGCTGTCAGGGCAAAAACGTTTCCATGCCAGCGGTTTTATCTGAATCATTTCATTTTGATTTTAGATCAATCAAAATGTGCAGAGTGAATGTAACGTTTCTTATTCAGATGTGAATAATAATGCCGTAGCAGTGCAGCAGCAAAAAGGATATTAAAGCCTACCTTTGCAGATTTTTATCCGCTCTGCTGCTGTCCACCGCGTTCAGCACCCGCAAAACCCCAACACTGTCAGGTCAGAGAGGCTGAGCCGCGCTACATCCGGTTTGTCCCTTCAAAATAAAAGAGCTTGCGTTAGCTATTCTACTCCAGGGGTCTTCAACGTTAGGGACCCCCTAATTATACATATTGTATGAAATAGTTTATATCAAACTGATCCTATAGTCACTCTATTACATATGGAGTAATGTAAAAAAAGTAATTTCGCTCTGGGATTATTAAAGTATTTCTGATTCCCGGTTGATGGGACAGGTGTTGTGAATGAAACGGTGCCCAGCTTGAAAGAGCTCCTGTGTGTCGCTGAATGTGTGCATCGCAGACTGAAAGACATCTTCTGCCTCCATTTATCTGTTTACTACAGTGTTTTAAATTCATGTTGATGTGCAGTTAAAGACATTTCAATTAGTGGAAAAAAATTGCAAGGGGGAATATAAAAAAAAGGAATTAACCAAAACATTCGCGCCCTCCATGCTGTGTCTCCGTGGACCCCATAGGGGTAGAGGACCCTCTGTTGAAGACCTCTGTTCTACTCTGCTTCGTTCAGCAATGCCTGATGTGTTGTGAAAAGTACAAACAATAAGTACAGATAGAAAAACTTAGATGTCAACATACAGAACGTTATCAAAAAAGCAGTATAAGGGACTAAATTATGCATATTGTTTATTCATATTTTGAAGGCATACATGTAAGGTTAATGGGCAATAATTATGGACCAAATATTGATCAATATGGTATCCCATAAATCTCTATGATTTCTGTCAGTGTGTTCATATAAGAACTTCAATGAACATAGCAAAAAATGACATTGCAGCTGCTGCTTCACATTGAAAATGTGTTATATTTGTCTGTTTATGCCATCGCCTCTATCAAAACAATATTAATGCCAAATGTTTACCATTCTCACTGATGTTTGCGGTTTCTTCCATCTGCATACCGCACACAGAATTGCTCTATATTACCTAAAGTTGTATTCATTTAATCAACTAATTTGTGGCTAATAATATAACAAATCAAACAGTTAAAAAATATATACTTTTATGGTACTTTTAAATAGTTAATATGAAGCTTGGCAGCAGTTTTTTATTAAGGTTTTCAAATATTATTCTAAGAATTTGACAGTAAAATATTAAAGACAAGAATAAATCCTAGCTGTCTTTATGAAAGTCAAACTGCAGCCAGTATCTCTATCACTAACAACCATGTATATAATCGTCCACTGATTTACACATATTTATTTTATACCAGCTCTTTGGTCATGCTTAAATATTGCTCCAGGTCTGTTCCACAGCTTCATTCCAAGCACAGATATATAGACATTATTTTGGGTGAGAGCAGATTATTTCAGCTTTATTACCCCACTTAAAGGCTTATGTACCCATTTATATACATATGTATATATATAAATAAGAATGCACGTGGTACAAATATAGGCTAAGCTGCTGTTGTTTAAAATAAATCTGAATTGTTATTTAGAAATTAAGTGAATTGTGTAGAATGTATACTGGTCCAGATCGTACATTTAACTCCTAAATACAGAAATGTCGCTCTAAACTTGTTCAGTAATTTCTTGCCTCATATCTAAGGTTTGAAAAAAGACATTAATACCATCCAGTCGGGCTTTCTGAGGGACAAGCAGGACCTTTCAGGAGTGGATCAACATCTGACTCAATGAATACTGAATTATTTCAATGGCCTCAGGCAGTATGTGACAAGGGGGCTGTTTCTCTGGCAGCTTGTCTGCAGCCTGAGGGCCCCTATAAGGATCTGTGCTGGCCCTGTTTCTTTTCATACTCTGCAGACTTCAGTCAATCAACTCCTCAGGCTGCCATCTTTAGAAGTTCTCAGCTGACTCTGCCATAATTGTTCTATTTTCAAGTTAAAGAATGTTTTGGACTGAACAACCTCATCTTCAAAGAAGGAAGAGCAAGGAGCAAACCAACCTCACTGACACTGGTAAATATCCTGAGAAATTACAATGAAAAAATGGAAACTTAGAAGCAGCTGGATGTTCACCTGAACAAGAAACTGGACTGAAGTTACAAAACTGGAAGAGTAAAAGCAGATTCTTCTTTTGACTTTGTAATGACATCAGCCATCTTATCTGATGAAGATTGTCAGAGCAACACCTTATATACTGCTGAGAGGAAATTTCAGAACCTTGCATGTCTCCTCGTATCCTTGAACCAAGCGAAGGTGGTGGTGGGGGATGAAATGACTGGCAAAAATAACAATGTCTTCCACCCCATGCATGCATTTATTGCAGAGCTAGATAGCTCCTTCACTGCAAGCCCATGCATCCTCTTTAATGCCCAAAGAGCCGTTATCACAGATCCTTCCTCCCATAAGCTGTTTGAATTTTATAACACCAATGCCGCCAGCAAACTAAATAGGTGTTTACAGTATATCTTTGTTGTTTTCACACAGTTTATTTTATCTTATATATCTATTGATTTTGAGAATGCTATCTGAAAATAACCATACAATATTGTTTTTTTACTTTATAAATTTGCCCTCACTGTACAGATTTTTATTTTTACTTTTTACATTTCATCTTTGTTTTCTGATGGTATATACCTGAATTCCACCACTGTGGTACAATGAGGGATATTTCTATTCTATTCCATATTCTGTTTTAGCTTACTCTTTCATTATTTCTTCATTTTATGAAATTCTCTGTGTTTAACCCTTTATAGGACCCTCAGTGAAATAAGTGAAATTGCAAGCCAATAGTGCTATTTGAATCCAGGACAAGACCTTATTACCTTTGTAACATTTAAAAATATGGATATTTTGATGGCAGAAATTAATGTCAATGTAATAACAAGAAACGACAACTTGCCTGAATATATTCAGAAAAATAATAAAAGTGCTTCTATTAGAAATTCATGAAAAACACTCTTAGAGTGAAAGAAACACATTTTTTTTTTTTTGGTCGAACATAACCTTAAAGGCATTAATGCTGATACTGGTACATTTTTTTAGTTTATAAACCTAAATACAATTGTTAACGAATTTACAGTAGGTAATAGTTCATTCAAGGGCTTATCTAAAAAGTACATCCAAAATAAGATGTACAGCTGTTAACTTGTCCTATAAAGGGTTAAATTTCACTTTGTCTTTTGGTCTCAGCCTTTATTCATGCAATTATTTTGAAATCCAGATTTCTCCCTGTGTCCTTGTAACACCGCCATCTTGACTAGGTCTTCGTAAACCTGACGTGTGGGCGGGGCTTCCAGCACCCTATAGCTGACTGACAGCTCCTGTGACCAATCAATGGTCGCAATAAGAGTCCTGAAACATTCCACCTCAAATAATGAACCGGTCATTTATTATTGATGAGCGCTGCCGGAGAAACTGAATTATTGATCAGGAGGTCAGCAGTAACCACTGCTGCCATTTCTACAAAAGCACACACCGACTTTATGTTTCTCACTGTGAGAAATATCAGTGCAGGAAAATCAATAATACACGAACACAGAGAAGAGCTGAATATCAATCTCAGGCTCTGGAATGATAAAATCAATAACTGTAGGAAAGTTCATTCAGACAGATACTTTTTGTTTCTTCTGAAGCTCCATTTGAATGTCACTTAACGATTTTAACAGTATAAAAAAAATCTGCAATGAACATGAGGTGAGAAACTGTACATTAAATCTGATAAAACATGCAGTCATTTTGGCATTCAAATATATAAGGTTATATATAAAAGGCCCCACTGAAAAATGAGGTTGATGGTGATTTTAAAAATATGTAATAACATTTTAGATGCACCAGAAAGTTTGCAAAATCAGTATTAGACTACATTTTAACAGCTGACTGGAGGAGGGACCGTGGAATTACAATGTTACTGTAAGGTAATGTAATAATGTAAGAATAGAATAGGATAGAATAGAATAGAATAGAATAGAATAGAATAGAATAGAATAGAATAGAATGCTATGGAGTTGCCCAATGATAAAAGAATTTTGGAAATGTGCCAATGTGATAACTTCAAGGGTAATAGGAATGCAATTTGAACAAGACCCAAAACTATAGACACAGGCTCTATAAATGTAAATTCTTACAAGAAGTATTTTATATTACTTGCGAGCACTGCAGTAAAGAAATGCATCCTGGTTAATTGGAAATCTGAAAATTCACCATCAGTAAAACACTGGATCAATAAGCTTATATCTTACTGCACACCCAAAAAGACACTAAATAATGTTAGAGGTAAACATGCAATCTTTGAAAAAATCTGGGGCCCCTTCGTAGACATTCTGCCCTCTCTGGACCCAGCTGTCGATGGTGGAGTGATCGTTTCTGGACCGGCTTCAAATTGGTCCTTTGCAGGTTCTTCTTATGTAACTTCCTCACTTATGTACCTTGATAGACGTAGTGTATTGAATTATACAGAGATGAATGTGCTCATATGGACCTGTTGTGTACAGAAATGAAAGGATATTGAGAACCATAAGAGAAAGGAGAGTGGTGGGTGGGAGGGAAAAAGTCTGTTATATTTTTTTCGTTGTTTTCTTTAGGTGTTAAAAATCAAAAATCATCTTCCTTGTATGGTGTGTCTGTAAGACTATATATCGATAAGTTTGTTTAATAAAATACAATTTTCAGTGTAACTGTAAATGCTTGCTATACACCATAAATATCTCATAAAAAAAAAAGAATAGAATAAAAAATCCTTTTATTGTCCCACAGTACCTCAAAAATTATCCACATACAACCAAGCAGTTCACATTTTGGCATGTTGCAAACAGATAATGCATTTTTTCAGTTTATTTTATACCATAGAGTAAAAGCAACATGTGCATGGTTGTTAAGAGAAATCATCACACTGTTTTTTACCATGCTTACAAGGGATTCTTAAATTCACAATATGTCATCTCAAGACACTCTACAGGGACAAACCAATCAAATCCTGCAGCCAGACTGGTTGAAAGTTTTCTACCAAAGAAAAAGCAGCTGATTGCATTGAGTAATTGATTTTACAGGACTCGTTCCTACTGGATGAACATATGGCAACAGTAGACATGTGATTGCATCATGTCTTTGACTCTATAGCAATCCCTCGCACCCTTAAGAATGCATGTCAGTGTGTAAGTGTGTGTGTGTGAATGGGTGAATGACTGAATGTACTGTAAAGGGCTTTGATCAAGCCTCCTGACTTGAAAAAGCGATATATATAAGTACAGGCCATTTACCATTTAAGCATGCATGTATTGAGGGTGAAGAAGAAAAACTCTTTTTGACAGGAAGAAACCTCCAGCAGAAAGAGGCTCAGTGTGAGCCTGTAGAGACTGACTGGCGGTTCAAGGAGACAGAAGCAGACATAAAAAAAAAAGGAACATAGAAACACTGATATAAATACTATAAAAAGCTGAGCCCATAGCTTTGCCTAGGAGAAAACAGTCTAAACTCTATCATCTATAACCAAAGGTGTTGATGGTTGTAGCTGAGTTAATATGCTGAGAAAATGGGGGCAGAGCAGAAGCTACCTTGACAAGAAAAATAAGAGAGAGAATATAATAACAACTACGGTAATAACTAATAAATACTGCAGAAATGGAGTAATGACAGAATGAAGCCGGATTATGAAAAGTTGTCTCTATGTCTTCCAGCAGCCTAAGCTTATAGAAGGTTCTCGACAACATATTTTAGCATAGCGGGACACTCAAACGAGTCATTGTTATGGTGAAAATCAGGTTAATACGCACATTTTGTATGAGTGGAACTGCTCTTTGACTGACATCTGGGCTTCCTCACCGGCAAATTTCAGCACAGACACTGATTACGCGGAAACTTTTAGAATTACAATGGAATTATTCCAATAGGCTGACTTTTAGTGAACATAATGGCCACAGAAACTGTGTTTTGAAATTGATGTAGCCTTTGTAGTTACACATAAACTTTAGGGAGGTGCTGTGAAGACATGAACCCCGTGCTTTTAAGACTGTCATAGGCCCAATTCACCAAGGCAGGTTAACACACTGTAGCTCTGAGAGAGCAAGCTTTAAAAAAAAAACAACAAGAAGGCCATTACGATGTAAGCGTTCACACACTTGTTTAGCAATTATTTTCTAAAGAATTTTAAATATGAAAGAAAGATTAGGCCTATAATTGATTAAGTCCTTTGGTTTAAAGGATTTCTTAAGTAAAGGTTTATTTACAGCTAGACTGTGGCCTATAGTCCCGTAATAGGGATAGATTTATCATACGTAAAATGGAGGTGGAAATCAGAGGGAATAATTCCTTGAATATCTTGAGTGGAAATGGATCTAACATACACGTTGAAAGCCAAAGTGAAGATGATAATTTTGGCAGCCCTGAAAGCTTAACTGGATCAAAACAGTCTAAACCCAGTTCAGATTCTATGGTTACCTCAGGTGCTGCCTCGCCTTCCAGAAATAAGCCAATCATATTTAGAGGGGTGCCAATGATCTTATTTCTAATAGAATTAATCTTATTTATAAAAAAATATCCCACAAAATCAATACTGCTAAGAGCAGAGGAGATGGACGGTTCAACAGAGCTATGGCTCTGGGTGAGTTTGGAAACTTTATTAAAAAGATATCTAGGATTATTCTTATTATACTCTTTTAATGAGGAAAAAATGCTGCTCTTGTTTCACAAAGGGTCATGTTATACAGAAGTAGACTGTTTTATCCAGATTAAGTGGGATTTCTTTAGATGTGTAGAGGACCATTTTCTCTCCAGTTTAAAGGCTGTATTTAAGCTTTCACCTTCAATGTAAGCATGTATGTTAAAATCCTCCACTGTAGCAGACCTGTAGCATCTAAAAATTTAGAGTAAGGAACCGGGTGGACAATACAAAGTAACAAACAGAATAGATGTTGTTCTACAATTTGGATGGGGCAAAGTAAGAGTTAGATGTTCAAAAGAATTACAACTTTTAACTGGCTTTGAATTAATCAATAATTCAGACTGGAAGATTGTTGCTACTCCTTCTCCTTGTCCAGAATTTATAGGCACGTGAGAATAAAAATATCTGGAAGGAGGTTCCTTATTTATCCTTACATAATCCTCTTGGTACAGCCAGGTTTCTGTAAGAGAAAATAAATTGTTCTAATTAACATACATTAAGTCATTAACTAACAAACTATTTATAACAAACAAACTGCATTATATTATTTAAACTTTTTTTCCTCAATTTGAGAAATGTTTGAGCTTTTCATGGTTTACTCCAATAGGATTTCTGGATAGAATAGAATAGAATAAAATAGAATACAATAGAAATAAACTTTATTGCCATTACACTATCACAAGTGCAAAGCAACAAAATGTTGCACCTAACCAGAAGTGCTATACAGGAATTAAATTAGGCACTAATGGGTGGGTAACAGTAGAGAAGCTGCAGAGATGTGTGTTAAACTATAGCTTTGATTTCTTGTCTGCACACTGGGCTCTGATTTTAAATTGCAAAAATTTAGATGGGGGTAGTATTAGATAGTGTTTATGGCATTGAGCTTGGACTCCTCATGTTCTGAGTTTAAGCCCCACTCCCACAGACTGCCACTCTTGCTCTCTGACCAAAGACCCTTAACCCAACATTGCTTCCCGGACGCCGCAAAATGGCAGCCCACTAGGGGATGGGTTAAACGCAGAGACTAAATTTTGTTGCTCTGTACTTGTGACAATGTAATCACAATAAAAAAAATAAAAAATCTAAAATGTCCATGGAAAAAAACACCCCATAAAACGAACAGCCATATTGTTGGAGAAAATTATCAATAATTCAACCAACTTGCTGGCTCAAAATAACTCTAAAGGAGCTGAAAAGATCCACAGCTCAGGTAGGAAAATCTTCACCCCATAAGTCTGCCATCTACTGTACAGAAAACTACAAAAAATAAAGCATCGTTTGAAGACAGCTCTGAAAACAGTTTTTATGACACAAGTTTTTTTGATCTATCAAATCAAATTCGATAATTATATCAGTGCTTAACATTTTAGCATGGAAACATGTTTTGCAAGCACTGAAAATAGCAACTACTCTGACTATAAAGTTGGATCTTTGACTTCTGAAATGCACTTCACCCAACTTATATATTTTTTTCAGTTTTTCTAAATGAGCAAAAAAATGAAATGATCAAAAGAAATTGAGTCTTTTATTATTAAATGATTAAGTTATTTTACAAAAAATTAACTATAGCTGTATAGAAAAATGTATTAGTTGTCTAACATTTAAAACCCTGGAGACATTAGTCTGCTCCTAATAAATTATGGTGGGCCAATCCTGCCATAAATAAAAATAAATACAGAAATAAATAAATGCTCCAAAAATAAATAAGCTTACAATTAATATTCCCCAAAAATACAATAAACAAATAAATGTCGGTAGAAATTAAATTATATGGTGAAACATAAATATATATCTCTTTTAATTAGCTTCTTTGTTTATTTGCCTTTGCAATAATTAATTTACTTATTTATTATCCATTATAATCTCCAACTTTATTTATTTATTACTTATTTCTTTAAGTATGTATTTATGTGCATATTATAATATTTTTGTTTGGTTTATTCTTCCTTTGTATTTTTTTTTTTTACCCTATTTATTTCTTCAACACTATATAGGTTTGTTTTGACTGTGGCCAGTGGCTGCTAACCAACCAATGGGGAGAAGCTGACCCTTTAAGACATACCCCTCCTCATTTGCATAATGAGGCAGAAATGCATCCAGAAATGTAAATACTACAGGCAGAAATAAATAGCGTTTAAGAAATAAATAGGGTAAAAAAAAAAAATACAAAGGAAGAATAAAACAGACATTAATATTATAACATTCCCATAAATAAATACTTAAAGAAATAAGTAATAGATAAATACATTTCAGGAATAAAACGGACAATAAATAAATAACGTAATTATTACAAAGGCAAATAAACAAAGGAGCTAATTAAAAGAGATATATACATTTATGTCTCACTGTATAGTTAAATTTCTACCTACATTTAATTGTTTATTGTATTTTGGGGGGGCAATTAATTGTATGCTTATTATTTATTGAGCATTTATTTATTTCTGTATTTATTTTTAATTATGTCAGGATTGGTACTCCACACTTGAGTCCAGCAGTGACCTAAATGTTCAAACTATGATTGTTGGTGCTCTTGCTCTTCCTCACCGTAAGGGGGCGCTTAAATGCTTTCACCTCCCCTTAAAATGTTTCGTTTCCTCTGCGCGTGCGTCTGTTCTTCCGGTTAGAAAACTGTTTAGTTTTGGTTGTTAACGGTCCTGTTGGGGTATTTTTGTGTAAATGATTCATTTAAACGTATTAAGGTGTATTTATTTCCGTCTGGTTGGATCAGAGTGAGCGGACATATTTATCTTTGGGTTGACGGAGAGCGACAGAACACCACCGGCTCAGGTCCCATTCTCTTCTGGTTTGTTACAGGTGACATTCGGTAGCAGACACTAATGGCATTGTATATATTATCCAAGGTTCAAACGATGTCGACTTTTACTGTGAATTAAACCCATGGTGGGTAAATAAGTAAAACCACAGAAAAGCTTAAGAAAATATTTTACTTGAGGAGCAGCATTTTAATGAACTGCGTGGACTTTGAGACGTTATCACTAAATTAATGGATTCAGCAGATTTACACCTGTTGTTCTTTGGTTCATAGTTCATACAAAGGCTAAAAGGGACTTGAATTATTGTATACACATTATTTTTCTTCTACTTAATTAATTATTTGTTTAAACCTAAACGGATGATCTTTTTTTTTCCTTCCAGCCTATCTGTACAGATCAGATATGGACAAAATTATGCAGATTTATACAACGCAGTTTGTGACTTAAAATGTTTACATTTTAATATATAATTAATTTGCACACAAAAAATATGTATATTTTAAAGCCAATTTAACTGGACGCCGTTAAAAATAGTGGATCTTTAACAGAGAACAAAGATTAACTCAGACAATGATTCTAAACTTGTGGTGGTTTGGAAGAGATGCCACTCATGGTCTGGCATGTGATTTAAATAGATCTCAAATGAAAACAGCAATTTGACTGGATGGAAAGATGGTCAGCTACGGTCAGAGGTGTAGCCAGAAAGTTTTTATAAGGGCGATAACCTAATAATGTACACTGAGGGGTGACTGAAGGTAAATAGGCACAAAAACGTCAGGGTCAATATTAGCCTGATAAACCAGAATAAATATGAGATTAAATGTTTAATTTAGTCTGGCCTCTATGAATGAGACATCTGAAGGGTGTGGATGAGAACAACCCGTTTTTTTTTTTTTTTAAACCGCTGTCTGTGCCTATTGGCCAACGCTCTGACCAATGAGCGCAACTGACTGTGACGTAGTAAGTGCGACAGAAAGCTGATGGGGGAGTGTAAACAAACAGCCTATCGGTAAAACCCACACGTCTTTACCTCATATAACACCAAATCTATTTCTGAAAAGAGCATGAATTCTGTACTTATCATATTTAATGTTAGTGTTTTTGTTGTCAAGTAATTAATATATGAAAAATTGAAATGTTTTGCCACCACCTGTATTAGAGGGAAATAAATGGTAGGGGTGGCCACAGGGGTTGCCAATGATTGGCTAAGGGTGGCAATGGCCACCCCTGGCCCCCCATCTAGGTCCGCCCGTGGCTACAGTAAATCCAAAACATCTGTTCACATGCCCAGCTATGGCCACATCAGACAGGTCAGTGCTAAATAGGTCATTTGATGGTTAAAGAGGTCTCTAAAAACGGTTCCTTTCTAGTGTTAATGTTTAACAGAATTTCCTCACAGGTTTAACTTTCACTGGTGTCCTGCAGGCCTTAAAATCGTCCCAGCTTCAATCCAACTCTTTTCCATTAATGGTTGATTAACAAGCTTTTTCTGTTCTACAATCACCTTAATCAGGTGGGTTACATTAAGTCACTAAAATAAAGTCTATGGAGGTAAGAGTGTCATGGTTTGGGGAAGCTTTGGTGCAGCAGTGTCTGCTAGCTTACAATCTCGGAATCAACCATAAATGTGATCATTTTTTAACAGTACGCTTCAAGAAGAAGGTAAAGAATTGGGGAGTCCTAGAATGAGATCTGTTCTCATTGAAATGCTGCGTTGTGGAGACTTGAAAGCATTAAAGATGCAGGAACTCCTCAAACATTTGACAGCCAAAACGCAGCAGTAATGCAAGTGATTTCAGACACTGTTACATTATTTCAGCTAAAGGGAGGACAGCAGTTTTTAGGTGGCAGGTGTCTTAAGTTTATCCTCTTCTTTAATAGACAACCATAGTATAAGGATAGATACAGTCATTTATTCAAACAGGGCAGCACTATAAATAGAATTCCAACAATCGTTTCAGCCTCAATGTTCATTATTTTAATATTGAGAACAGAAATAAAATTGATCAGTTGGAAGGACACCCAGCTCCTTTATCTACAGACTTTATTTGCATTAGTGTCTGAAATGTTAAAGCCTCTAAAGAGTGATGGTAAAACTGCTGTGACAGAAGAGGCAATTTATTGTTCTGTTATTGTTGCAGTATTTAATAGTGCCACTGTTTACCTCTCCCTGTCTGCTCCTGTTATCAAACAACGAGGAGACTGTAATACTTTAATTCTCCTAACGGATTGTAAAACTTTATACCCGTAAAATCTTTCCTAGTAGTCTGGAACCACTCACACAAAGCAAACAGGTTTTTTTTTTCTTTCCATCTTGTTTCACAGATGACAGAGTCGTCTCTGCGTTCTGAACATCATGCTTCCCCGGGCGGGTAAAGAGTTTCTGGTCCGCATTCGGTTCTCCTGGAGGCCTCTGTTCCAGGGCCGCTACCTGCTGCTTACCAACACGCTGAGCGGAGGGATCATGCTGTCACTGGGAGATATCCTGCAGCAGACCCGGGAGAACCGCAGGCAGCCGGGCCGGGTCAGAGATTGGGGGAGGACAGGTAGAGGGGCACCCTGGTTTCTGAGCATCACACTCAATGATTTATATAATAGGCCATGACAATATTAGGATACATGTTTGTTTTTTTGTTTTTTTTCTCTTCTCCATTCCCCTACATTTAGTACTGTACACATTTTAGGGACTTAAAACTTAAAATATTTTTGTTGAGTCATAGATCACAAGCAGACTTCAGAACACATTTCTCTCTTTTCCTCTTTGACTATTTTGCAGAAAATATTTTTTGTTTTACCTGTAATTTGTTTCCTATTAATAACAAATGTTTTCCAACATTAACATTTCTTCCTCATGTTTTAACCATTTATAGGGCATTTGTAAATTCTAACTTTCCCTATAAAGCGTTAAAGTTTTTATTAATTATCGGTGAGTCAGTCATTCAGGGAAATGTGACCAGAGCACCATGTCACTAACACCACTGACATGCCATATGACTCTGGTTGCCACTACCATTATCAGTTATTATGGTGTTTAGCTGGCATTTGAACATTCTGGCTGAATATGTTTTATTACATCATCAAATTGTTTTCAAAAATGTTTTTATGCTTCAAGTTTTTCTTCAAAGTGTATTTGATCAGGATTTGTTCTAAACGCAAAAGTTTTTCATTCCTTAGTGATGGAAAGCTAATTTAATTGCAGAAGAATAGAATACTATTAGATGTCGTTTTGATATTTTTTTTCTTAAATGTAGAAAGACATTTGTTACAAGAATAACATTTGTTCTTCACGCCACATTTTCTGCCATGGATTGGTTTTGTTTTCAGCTGCAGTTTCATAAAACACACATGGTGGATAAAGCATCTGCTTCACTGTCAAATGACCAGCCGGGTTATGATCTGCGCTACAATAACTGCTTTGTTCAAGTTAGAGGATTGTAAATGGTCTGTTTGGACAGTCTGCTGAGGCACCTGGTTTGCTGCAGCACCACAAGCTCAGTGCTTTAGGGCAACAATATCAGTTCAGCATATTTAATCATGTAGATAATGGTGAAATCCACATAAATACGTTTTAGACTAGAGAAGCTCGCACATAATACTATTAGTAAAGGCTATTCAGATTAATCAAAGAACTGTTATGGTCTAATAATATATTTAGAAAAAAGCATAATGACATCAGATAATTCATTGATATTACATGAGCTTGATAAGATTATTTTTATCTTATTGTTTCCTTTTTTTTTGTTTAATACATGCAATTTCTTTGTGTACATTTCAAGTAGCCTGACGTAGTCCGACTCAATTCTAGTCAGAATATGAGTCTGATACTGCTCCATAGAGCTGTGATTATGGGGCGTGTTTTTAACGAACCAGGAAAAAAAATGCCTCTGCACTCAATTGGATAGACCTACAACCAATAAGAGCAACGGAGTGCGTGACGTATGTTAAGCCAGGCACAGTTGTTGTCAACAAAAATCAAAGCGTGCAGTTGCACGCCTAGAATAAGAAGATGAGCCTTGATCGCGTTTCTCTTTTCCTCTTTTAAAATTAATTTGCAGTCGATATCTTCTAGAACAGACCTAATAGCAGAATCTACTCACCTCAACTCTCTGGCGGCAGCCATTGTTGTTGTCGCCCATGCGCGCTTTGGTCACGTGGTTGATTACGTTACTGTTGATCATCTGTCCATCATCGTATAAAGCCCGCCCTGACAATTTGATTGGATCGCTTGACAGTGGGCTTTAATACTCGCGCTACTATGGAGCAGTGCCAGACCGAACTTCCCGACCTCAAACTTTGTGGGCGGGACTAAGTTCGGAATGGCACCCAGGCTACATTTCAAGTATTATGGACTTTAGTGAATGCCAAAAGTTACTGGTAAAAATGTAATATTAAATTGGTTGGAAATTAAATGTTTAGACTGGTAAATGGATTAAAAAAAAAAACTAATTACTTAAACAAAAAAAGCTATTGATGGTGGTAGGTAATCATTTGTTAGTTAGACTTTCTTTAAATCTTGGGCATAATATATTGAAGACCAGAGATTTCAAAATTAATATTTAAATCCCAAAATTAGAAATCCAATTCAAAAGGTGTTTTGCATTGGCACATTTTAAATTGAATTGAAAACTGTAATCCATTATGAAACCTGCAATTTGAATTTTTAAATGGAAATGTATAAACGACAATTCATAAATCTGATTATAAATATATTTTCTAATCACACATTTAATCAACTTGCATTTTCAAATTCTTTATGAAGTTGTATATTTTTACGTTACTATTTCAATTTATCTTTTCTGTGAACTCTCTGGACAGCTCACTGAAAACAAAGTAAGCTAATCGCATTAGCTCCTCAGATGTAACCAGGTCCATCCTTGGTCATTTTGTGAAACAAAGCCTAGCACTATCTACTGCAGGCAAAAGATGATTTAATTTAATCCAAGAATAAGTGCAAAAAAACATTTTTTTAAATCAATGAAAAATGCCCTTAGTTCTTCTGCAAATGTCTTGAAAATAAGATATAAACTCTTGTACCCAGAGATACATTAATCATTTTTGAGTCAACACTGATTGGCATTGACCTACTAATTCTTATTTTCATTAAATCTAATTTTGTATTCTAACAGCTGCAATGCACTAAAACTGTACTGATGGGACCTGGAAAGAAGGAAAGCTTCTAAATAGCAAAGAAATGGCGGCCTAGTAGGGAAAGTGGCGGCCTCGTGGTTATGGCATTGGCCCCCAGAGGTTCTGAGTTCAAGCCCCACTCCCGCAGACTGCCACTCTGGGTCCCTGAGCAAGACCCTTAACTCCACACAACTCCCCGGGCGCCCCACAATGGCAGCCCACTGCTCCCCAAGGAGATGGGTTAAATGCAGAGGGAAATTTCTCCAGTGTGATATTACTAAAGTTTAATTATTAACATGAAAAAAATAACATGACTGTCCTTGCACTGACATTTCAGTAAACATAATCTAATTTTAAGTAAATGCAACAGTAAAAGAAGTATAGAGTGGGTTCTTTGCATGGATTTATTTCATAAATACTCAAAAAATCTGATTCTTTTCTGCATATAATCTGCCGTTCACAGGTCACAGTTGACTTTAAGAAAGTTATAAGCAAAAATATTAGTTGATTGAGCACTGCTTTCAGTGGGGACCTGATCCACCCTTTGAGATCAGTTATGTAGCATTCATACCCACTTGCCTGCATTCTTAAATCATCTTCCTTTGTTAAAAGGATAAAAGGTTTTGAAATTACCCAGATCAAAAACAAAAAGCATAAATCTTTGTTCTGCTCCAATAATGTGTTTGCTCTCTTACCACTAGATGTCACTAATTCCTTCACCTTACTGCTTTAAAGATGAACGTTGCTCAATAATCCTGATAACAAAATGAGTAGTTCTATTAGTCACTAAAGCTGTTTCTAACCGCTTCTCCTTGGATTATAGTCACCCTGGAAACCTTCAAAGTGTCAGAGGTTAAATACCTGCTGGTTATTAAAAAAAAAAAATAAAAACTTTTTTCCACACATGGTTTGAGTTTAAACACATGAAGTAATGTTTGTTTGATGTGTCTAAACCTGTTCAGTGACTCATAGCTGTTCTGTTATTTTATATTTCCCTCCTTTTGTCCCCCTAAAGGTCGAATGTTTGTGGCTGGCTGCTCTATGGGTCCACTGCTGCACTACTGGTACATCTGGCTGGACAGAGTTTATGTGGGAAAAGCCCTGAAGACGTTGAGCAAGAAGGTTCTGGTGGATCAGCTGGTCGCCTCCCCCACTCTGGGAATGTGGTATTTTGTAGGTAAGAAGGGGTTTACTGGCAGGGAGTGGGAGGTTTTCTCCACCCGCTGTGCCACACCTTAAGACTGGTCCGGGTTTGAGCAAAGAAAGGTTTTCACAATGACGCACGATTGTAAGGAATCATGTACAGAGTCAAAGTTCAAATGAGTAAGATGGCCTATATTGAGTTCAAAGGACATGTGTGATAAAGTGTTTTTTGTTTTCAGACGAGTTTATAAAAGTTAATAGCTGCTCATGTTTTGGAACGTTATCTGATGCTGATTCTAATGGTGACTGGGAATGACGCACGTCTAACGGGCAGCTCTGGTTGTCACAGGTATGGATCTGCTGGAGGGACGATCTTTATCTGAAGGATGGGCTGAGTTTAGAGGAAAGTTCTGGGAGTTTTATAAGGCAAGTACATCTGGAAGAAGCTGAAATGACAGAGCAGAGTTTGTTTACTCATTACAAGCTTGGTTCTTAATGATGTGGATAAGTTCTCTCTGGATTATCTTTTCTGTGATCTTGATCATAAACTCAAAGGAATAAAGATGGAGAATATGGAAATTTGAGATTTTCTTAAGCTTAACTCATCTTTTTTCATTTGACGTTTTTATTAACACCATTGCAACTGTATATGAATACATTGCATTGATTAAAAGCTCCTTTTTCTTCTGTAGCTGGTAAAAACTTAAATATCTCCATTTTGTCAGATCACTTCCATCTTATTAATGAGTCCAGCAAAGCAGACTTCCTGTGCTTTAATCTCATTATAGCTGAAATTTTGTCACAATACAATAAATCCAACCAATAATTCAGGAGAAACTTCCTGGAAAAGCTGCAGTCGCTGTACATTAACATTTCTTCAAGTTGTAAAGCTTTAAAAGCAGCCGTTGTCCTTCCTGGAAACAAGCAGAGATATTAATCAGCTGTGGTGGACATCTATTTGACCCCTATCTCTGGAACAAGTTGAACTACTCCCTGAGGATTTCTAGCACATCCCCTCTGGGAAGTCTGTGCTCAGTCATGTAGGCTAAGGGTAATTAAAGTGTGATGGCTAGTACTGGGAATCTGCTGAGCCATACCAGTTTGATATTTAGAGAGCATTTCTCAACATGCAGTTACAGCAAGAAAAATAATTATTTAAGGTACCTAGCAAAAGTGTCCATTAATCTTGAACATCATCAAATTTTGTCAAATAATTGCAAATTTCAGTCTAGTTTATCGGGATTTTCTCAGATAAACACAGAGGAGAGTTTACTTGGGAATTAGGAGGGAAATTCCATGTTATTACTCAGAGAAAGAAATCAGAAGTTTTTATTTATTAGCCATCACTCTGAAGCTACTGAATACAATCTGGTGTAAACAGCTCTAAAGAAGTACAAATGTGCTGATCTTGTGAAAATCAAACAAGAAATAATAATTTTTCCCATCTTAACATAAAATTCTATAAGTGAGAAGCCTGATTACTGCATCCCCGCGGTTCAACCTGGGTAGGCCTGAGAGAAAACATTCCAGAGGCTTCAGAAGACCTTGAGCCAGAGAAG